TAACCACAAAACAAAACAAAACAAAACAAAACATAACACACATACACACACAATATATACTCCTCTCCCTTTTTTTACAGCGATTACATAACAGTAATCTAATTATTTACATTTCCCCCCTTATTCTTCTGTAGAATATTTGTCCTTAATGCCCCGTTATTTCTTATTTACATTTTTCTTCCTTCATGTTCTACTTCTTACTAAAAATAATTCGTATTATTATTATTATACATTATTATACACATATTTTCACTTTTGACCTTTCCATATTTATTCTCTATTATTTCTAGTCTCCAACCAGACATATCACTTGTTCCATGTTATATAATACTCTGTGTCTTCCTTTTATCTCTTTTGTTAATTTGCCCATCTCAGCACAGTCCAGGATTTTTCTTATCACTTCTTCCTCTTATGGTATATTATCATTTTTCAAGCACTGTGCATATGCTATTCTTGCCGCCGTTATTATATGTAAAATTAAGTACCATATTTCTTTACTATATTTTCTGTTTAAAATACCCAACAAAAAGATATCTGGTTTCCAGTCTATGGGTTGGTCTATTATTTCTTCGATCCATTTTCTTATTGTAATCCAGTATTTTTTTGCAACTGGGCATGTCCACCATAAATGATAATATGTTCCATGTACTTTTTTACATTTCCAGCATGTTGGCGAATTGTTCTGGAACATCTTGGCAAGCTTTGCTGGTGGAAGATGTCATCTGTAAAACATCTTCAACTGGTTTTCCTTGAATGCCATCGACATAGTCAATTTTATGTTTATTTCCCATATTTTTTCCCATTTCTCCAATTCTATATTATATCCGAAATTTTTTGCCCATCTAATCATTGTGTCTTTGACAACATCTTCCATTTTATATCTCAATAGGTATTTGTATAAATTGCTAATTAATTTTATTTCTGTTCCATGTATAATTTTATCCAATTCTTGCAGCTCTTTTTGGATTTCATATAATTTTTTGTTCTCTGTATATTTAGATTGAATTTGTGTAAATGTCCACCAGTCAATCTCTCTGCCAATATCTTGTTCCAATTCTTATTTTGTTTTCAGATTTTCCTGTTCATTTACTAATTCCTTGTATCTAATTATCTTATTTATATCCAATAGGTTTGGGTATTTCAGAGCTTCTGTTGGGATAACCACATTGGAATTCTTATATAATGTTTTTGTTTTATTTTTTCCCAAGTCTGTAGCAATGCATTCCTAACTATGTGTCTTTGAAAGTATCTGTGTATTTTATGTTTTTCGTCCCATAGTAATGCATGCCACCCTACATGCAAGTCATGTCCTTCTATTGTTAAAACTCTAGTATTTTTCAAATCCATCCAATCTTTTAACCAAGTTAAGCCCGATGCTTGGTAGTATATTTCCCACTCTGGTAACACCAGTCCCCCTTTATCTTTCATATCTTGCAAGAGTTTTAATTTAATCCTGGGTTTTTTCCTTTGCCATATAAATTTAGTGACCAATTTATTTAATTCTTGAAAGAATGTTTTCCCTAATTTTATTGGAATAATCTGGAACAGAAATAATATTTTTGGCAATACATTCATTTTGACCGTAGCAGTCCTCCCTAAAAATGAAATTTGCAAATTTTCCCAATTTTCTAAATAATATTTTATTCTAAGTAATATTTTATCATAATTGTCCTCCTTAATCAAGGAACATTTCGCTGTAAGCCAGATCCCTAAATATTTCATTTTATGGTTATACTTATCTTTGTTTTATCTTCCAGTTCACTTTCCTGTGCCTTTGTAAGATTTTTGGTTATTAATTTGGGTTTATTCTTATTAATCTTAAATCCAGCTACCTCACCAAATTTTTCTATTTTTTTAATCAATTTAAAGCGGGTTTCTAATGGATCTTCCAAAATAAATACCAAATCATCAGCGAAGGCCTGGACCTTATATTCTTCCTTCTTAATTTTTAAACCCTTTATTTCTTGGTCCTCTCTGATTTTTGTAAGGAGTATTTCTAATGATAAAATAAATAGAAGAGGGGAAAGTGGGCATCCTTGTCTTACTCCTTTGGTTATATCAATTTTTTCTGTCATTTCCTCATTTATAATTACCCTAGCTGTTTGTTTAGTATATATTTTCTCAACCATCTTTCCAAATTTTGTCCCAAAATCCATATAGTACAATTGTGTTATAATAAAATTCCAATTCAGATTATCAAATGCCTTCTGGGCATCAAGGAAAACCAGTGTAGCTTGTCTTTCAGGATGGACTTCGTAAAATTCTAAAGTGTTCAGTATTATCCTCATGTTATTTTTTATTTGTCGTCCTGGTAAAAATCCATTTTGATCTGGGTGGATGTAGTTATTCAAAAAATTTTTTATCCTTTCTGCTGTTATTGTTGTAAATGTCTAATAATCTGTATTCAGTAAAGAAATTGGTCTATAATTTTGAATTTGTTGTAGGTCTGAGTCTTCCTTAGGAATGAGGGTGATGATTGCTTTAGTCCAAGTTGTCGGTATCTTCGCCTCTTCCAACACCTCATTGTAAATCTCCAACATTATCCATTGTCGTGACTCGTGTATTTTTATAAAACTCGACCGGAATTCCATCTGGGCCTGGTGATTTGTTGTTTTTTTGTTTTTTCAATGCTGTTTCTAATTCTATTGCAGTTATTGGTCTATTCAACATTTCCTTTTGTTCTTCAGTGATTTTGCTCATTTTTGCTGCCTCTATATATTGATAGTATAGCTTTGAAAATAAATTTTGTATTATTTTCTTTTTTTCTTCCCGTCTATATTGTACTGTTAATCTTGTGTTTTATAATATTCCATTTTTCTTTTATCTTTTTATTTTGTGGGTCCTTCTATTTTTTTAAATTCTTCTTGTAATTTTCCTTGTTGAAGTCTATCTTTGTTTTTCTTAGAGTTGTATGCAATTGTCAATCCCCGAATGTAAGCTTTTGTAGTATCCCACAAATTTTGTGTTGATGTCTCTTCCTTTTTATTTATCTGAAAAAATAATGTCAACTCCTTTTCTAGCATCTGTATATATTGTTTATCTTTACACAGTCTTTGATTCATTGACCATCTTTTTCTCTGTTTCTGGCCTTTCCATTTTATTATTATTGGGTTGTGATCCGCCCAATCATTAAGCCCTATTTCAATTTCCTCTATCCCTTTTTGTACATCTGTTGTTGCCCAGGCCATATCGATCCTAGACCAAGACTGATGTGGATACGAATAGAACGTATATTGTTTGTCTGATCTGTGTGTCTCTCTTCATATATCCTGAAGGTTGAGTTCTGTTACCATGTCAAAGAACAATTTTGGTAATATATTTTTCTTTTTTTTTCTTCTTTTTACTACTTTTATAATCTTTCTTAACATCAACTATTGCATTTAAATCCCCAATCATACAAATATTTTCGTAGTCCAGATCCACTAGTTTCTTATGTACCTTTTTAAAAAATTCTTGTTGATTATTATTTGGTACATATACTGCCATTAATAAGATTTGTTTTTGCTCTAATTCTATTTCCAACATTAAAATTCTCCCCTCTTCATCCAAATATATTGATTTTGATTTTATTTTTTCTTTGACATATACAGCAATTCCTCCTTTCTTGTTTTGTGCTGATGCTGTGTATAGTGTTCCTAATTTTACATTCTCTAGTAGTTTTCCATAATCCTTTTTTATATGAACTTCCTGAAGACATATCACATCTGCATCCAACTTCCTTAATTTGTTAAACGTTTGTACTCTTTTTCTTGGTATATTTAATCCATTAATGTTTACAGAGAAGACCTTAATTGCGTCTCCCATTTCTCACTTGATCTATTTTTTTTATGTTTCTTGTCTCTATTACTCTTCCTTTTGCTCCTTCTCTTTCTAACCTTTCTCTTTCTTGTATCTTTTGTATTTCTCTCTCGTTCGACTTCCTCTAATAAATCTTCATCCTGACTTTTACTCTCCGACTCTTCCCTACTTTCTTGTTCTTCTCCTTGTGTAAAGTAACATTCATAAAAGTCCTGCGCTTTCTCAAGTGTATCTATCTTATATTTTTTTTTCCTGCCAAGTTAGAAATATGCCTTCAGGTATTAACCATCGAAACATAACTTTATATTTAGTTAATTGGGTCGTTAGAAATTGGTATTCTCGTCTCTGATTTCATATACTACGTGGTATTTGTTTTAATACAATTATTTCTTTACCCTTATATATTATTGGTTCGTCTCTTGTTTTTTTATATATTTCATCCCTTATTGATCTTCTAGTAAACCTTATATGGACCTCTCGCCAATCTATGCCTTCGTGCATAATTTGTATATACTCTATATATTTCGTCTTATGTCTCTTCTTACTTCCTGTTTTTTCCTTGCCTAATATCTCCACCAACATCTCCGCCATCTTCTCTCCCAAATCTTCTTCCTTTTCCTCCACAATATTTTGGAATCTTAGAAAGAATGAAGCTTTATTCATTTCCAAAAAGGCAATCGATTCAGTCAACTCCCTATTTACCTGCTCAGATTTCTGTACCATCCTTTCTATTTTGCTATCAACATGCTCCATTTTTGTTTCAACTTTTTGGATTCTTTGTTCATTTTCCATCGTTGTTTGTTGTATATTGCCTATCTTATCATTCATGTTTTTAATTTCATCTTTCATTTCTCCAATATCATTCTTGATTTCTTTGTGATATATTTTTGTTTCTTCGTGATTGTTTGCTATTGCCTCTTGGGTCATCATCATTATTTCTTAAATCGTTTGTAGTATTATCTGCATGCTCTGTGGGTTCATTGCCGATTCTGCTTTTTCTTTCCCCAACATGGTCGCTATCATTCTTTGACCTGTAGAAGAGGCCATTATAGGTGTGGGATTTGTAACTGTTTTTTTTTGCCAACTTTAGTTGTTGTTGCGGTACTTGTCATTTTTATTGCTTGAATAATATTTCTCCACTGTTGCATATACCAATTTATGGCAAGTTGTTTTTGTTGATCAAGTTGGTTTTCAATCTATATAGTCTAAGCTTAAATATGCAAATATATATAATATAGATAGTAAAGAATATATATATAATATTTCTAATTATGCATCAATATATATGATTATAATACCTTTATAGAACGTTATTCTTAGGGTTAATGTTAAAAAGTAAAATTACAAGTAGAGTTGTACCTTTCCTTATCCCACTATTATCTAATACAATTTATAATTCTCTTAATACTCTTATATATATTTCTATAGCACTCTGATTTTGTAGTTTCAAGTAAGAAGCAGAACTGATTGCTTGGTCATTTATTTAACCTCCATAAATTAACAAACTACTGCATATCAAAATATTTCAAGGTTTTATTCTTACCTCACTTCAAATGAAATAAAAAGTTTTGACTTTATAAATCAATAAAATAAAATCAAAGCTTTCAATTTCTCAAATCTTAGGGTTCAGTTCAGTGGGGAAAAAATATATACAACCAAAATATCGTTCAAACCAGTCTCATCTTTTTCTACAAAATAAAGCTTTTGAGTCATAAATCAATTTTATGATTGATTCTATCATGACACAAAATTTTAAACTTCTTCTGACTGTAGGATAAGCAACTCTATGAATAGAAAACATTACATTAGATGTGAGATATCCATATATTGGAGAGAGATTTTTTTCAATGTTCTTTTTGTTACCTTGATAATGGACTAATAGCAATAGACCAGACCCGGTCTTCTGTCTGTATTGTATGCAGACACTGCCCAGCCCTGCCTGATGATAAGGACCAAACCTGAAAAGAGAGAAAAGATGAATGGTGCATAGTAAGATGGATATAAGAATAGTTGTGTTTAAAAAGAAAATTCCTCCCAATGAGATACTTTGAATACATTCTTAAATTAATGTAAAACCTCCATTCTATTATTTAAGTTACAAGATTTGGGGAGAATAATTTTGTTTATAGCAATGAAATAACAGGATGTCATACACTTAATAATAATTATACCTCATTATATATTATTTGTTCCCAGTCTAAAATGGTTTGTGAATGATTTTACACAAACCGGGTACTGAGGTTCAGAACCTGTTTCAAATTCCAAAATTTCTCTTCACCATCCTCCAAAATTGATATTCTACTTTTCACATGCTAAGACTGAAGCCTCTGGTCCTCACTCCATTTATTCTCCCCCTATTTGAATGGGGGTATTCAAAGTTTGGCATATTGTTTGTGTTTGTTTGTTGACATTGATAATACTTAGGATTGCAGGCTATTCAATGTCAGTGAGGAATTTGGCACCTAGTGTCAGCAAAAGCAGCAGAAAAAACTTAGCTCTTTTAATGCATCCCTATCTCATAGAGGTTAAAAATATTGCTAGGAGCATGCTATCTGGTGCCTATCAATGTGGAATGTGCATTAGCAGCTACTCAAAGCTCAACCCTAATCAACACTCACTATCCTTCCAAAGCACCCAATGCACTTACAGCTCCCATTAGAGACCTAATAGGGATTCCCTTCAAGTTAGGAGTTAACACAAGGAAAATGTCAGGGTAAAAATAAAAGCAATTCTCTGCTCATAAGGATCAGGCTTGAAGAGTGTTAGTTGAGCCAGATTCCATTTCTGCCTTGAAAAAAAAAACAATGAAGACAATTAAAGGAAAATTCTCTGTGACTTTCAAAGTGCCCCCAAGGTCATGAGATGCCTTTAACTTCAGAGTAACAGAGCAAGCACACTGGACCCTACAGTATTCTGTATAGTGGATCAGCCATCATAATTAAATAGTTCTCTATCTTCTCATAAACACTGGGTATGCATTATTTTTACAGTTCTATTAGATCAGCAAAATCCTCCAAGATGAACTGTGACATAAAAAAAGGCCCATATCAAAATATGCTATCTTGAGACAAGTTCCGTTGTCCTCTTGAGTCATGTTTCTATATGGTTATATGATTTGAGTCACTGTCCCATTTCATATCATATGAACGCAGTAACAGTAACTCATATCATATTTAACTATGCTTTTTACATCAGCTTCTGGGGAAGAATTCAAAAAGATCCAAATTACATAGAACTGTTTTTCAGTAAACACAGAAATTATTTCTGACCTATATATAGAAAATGATAAAAATAAATCCTGATTCTAAAAATAATTATCTCAATATTTTGGGAGGAGAAATAGAAAGAAGGAATTGAAAAAAAATGAAGAAAATGTTATGCAATTCTTCCTCTTGCTCTCTGCTCTCCTCCATTGTTTTGCCAGTGCAGAGGCCTAAAGCAACACATGTTCTCAAAGCTTTGGACTATACAAATCACTTAAATATGCTGTAGACATTGTAACATATTATGAGTGTTGCAATTAAGAAATACATTCATACTGCTATAATTTAAAGAAAACGATTATATTTCCATCTTGAGCCAGTATTTTTCTTTGTTGGGAAAAAATACTTAAAAAAAAAGCTAGATATCTCCGTTAATAAATGTACTACAATGTTGATCTCACATATAAAATAGACACACACACTTCCAACTGTACTTTTCCCAGTCTGTTTTTTATTTTTTTATTTTGTCCCATCATTAGGTTATTTAAGGAAGAGAAACAAGTAAAATATTCTGTTCTGTGCTAGGCTTCTAAACAGTTGTGCCTTTATCCAAGGACTGGAAGTTAGCAGGACTTTGGCATTGGGTTTTTATTTGTTCACAAAGTTAAATATAACAAGTACTTTCTAGTCCCAGCCATCAACTGTGTTTATGTACATTGACCTGATACCACAAATAACAGTAAAACGTATTTGCCCACCTTTGCTGTTCTGTCTCGAGAACCACTCACAATGATAGACTCTTGGCAATCCACACAGTTCACTTCCTGTTGATGCCCAAGGATCTTAAAACTGAAAGAACTATTAAGTTTATGGAGGGCAATATTTCCATCTCTAGAAAATAAAATCACAAGCAAAAAAAAATCACCATCTCAGATAAGATCATAAGGCATATAATACTGTGGCATATGATGAACACCTGGACATATCCTGATGAGGGACCTGTTATTCTGTAAGTAAGGCAATTTACTGGATTAGGCTTTAAATTATTCTAGGCTGCAGTCACTAGATATGTGCAAAATTACAGCAGAAAATGGAATTAGTGGAAGAATAGTTCCTCAGGCTCTAGCTGGAATTACAGTAGAGATATCATTGTATAAACAGAGGCATAGAATCAAGATCACGCGAAGTATTAGTATCACTTCATAAAACCCTAAGACCACACCTGGAATACTGCAGCCAATTTTGGTCACCATACTATAAAAAAGATGTTGAGATTTTGGAAAAGTTCAGAAAAGAGCAACTAAGATGATCCAAGGCCCGGAGACTAAAACATATGAAGAACGGCTGCAGGACTTGGGTTTGTCTAGCCTAAAGAAAAGAAGAAATAGGGGTGACATGATAGCAATATTCCAGTATTTGAGGAGCTGCCACAAAGAAGAGGGGGTCAAATTATTCTCCAAAGCACCAGAGGGAAGGACAAGAAACAATGGTTGGAAACTGACCAAAAAGAGAAGCAACCTGGAATTAAGGAGAAACTTCCCGACAGTGAGGACAATCAACCAGTGAAACAGCTTGCCTCCAGAAATTGTGGGCGCTCCATCACTGGAGGTTTTTAAGAGACTGGACAGTCACTTGTCTGAAATGTTATAGGTTCTCCTGCTTGAGCAGGGGGCTGGACTAGAAGACCTCCAAGGTCTCTTCCAGCTCTATTCTATTCTATTCACTTCTGAAATATCAGCAGAATGCCAGTTTAATGACATACAGAGTTCAGTATATTTAAAATGCTAATAAATTCTGCATACTAAAAGGTTTCTACAAATGTATCCTAAAATATACCTTTCAGGGTATATATTCTTTTAAAAAAGCAGGTCTACAGTTTTAGTTTCATGCAAATTATCTGCATATACAGAAATAGTTTGACATATTTGATGGCAATTTTTCAAATAATCAAGATTACTGCATTATTATGCAAACTCAAGTCCTATTTTGCACTAAGAAAATCAGATTATCTATGTGCCTATTGAATAAAATTCAAAATGTTCCTTTATCTCAGTATTATATATTCCATATGCATGTCTTGTTTTTTGTGGTACAATTATTTGAATGTTGGTGTAACAGGAAAAGGCAAGGAATATAGTACATAGTTCACTACTATAAAGCTCTCTTCATAATCAATAGAAAACAATGTTCTGAAAGTGAGTTCTTCCTGTTCTCGTTCAGCTACATATTAATGCTAATCACTCAACAATCTTCATTCTCCTCCCAGTTTCTTTCAATAAAGAACTTACCCTCCTCCACTGATAATATGGCCATTATTAACTACAAAACGGCACACATCCTCCTGGTGACCAGAGAAAACTGTCTGAGGATACCATACCAAATTGGTATCTTTAGGGTGGAGCCAATAAAGGTGGATATCTTCTGCTTGGGATAGATAGAGGTAATCACCATCTAGTTGCATCCAGGGCATTAAACTGGAGAGAAAAATATTTTAAATAGAAATCAGTGTGTGTGATTTGGTTAGCCATATATATTTCTTTAATAAATAAATTAATAAATCAGTCAATTTCCACTGGGTAATGGTTTCATGTGGTATTTATTCATACCAAATACATAAATATAATGTATAAAAATCAATGCAAACATTGTCTATATCATATTTGTAATCTGTGCAACTAATAGATCTCTAAATGCATTTTAGAAACCACACCATAACATTGGTAAAATACAACTTCTAAAGGAGACTCAATATTCAATCTAGCTATTAGCCTGGGTGGTCTACATAAAATCGGTTTGATTTCAAATGCAAGTGAAATGAAATCCTAAGTTAGAACTTTATATTTTAGAACTTCAAATTTCTCCCTTCTTAAAACATCTGTGCTTTATTTTGTAATAATTCCAACCAAATCAACTCAAATGAAGAAGAAACTTCTTTATAGGAGTGTATTTGTGCTTCTATTTTGCAAACTTAAAATAAAACATTCTATGCTAAAAAGAGAGCAGTGAAAAGAGTAAGCAGGGGAGTCCTTTCATAAAAAAGGTATGTAAACAAGCACAAAAAACTATACTGAAAAAAATTTGTGACAGAAAAGACTTCTATATAATGGCCGATACTGCAAGAAAAATTAAAAGCAACAAAGTGGTTCGTAATAGGAAGTGGAAAATAATCTAAAAAAAGAAATAATATACCAACCTAACAAGTTGCAAAATGGTCTGGGCCAGTTTAATCATTCCTTTTTAAAATATATAGGTCTCAACAATTAAGATTATTCATAACATTTAATGGTTCGTATCTACTTCATTTAATAGCAAGGGAAACTTATTATCATTATATAATTCTCTTATACTAAGCATGACCATTTTCTCTTGAAATATTAATAAAACTTTGTGAAGATTTGCCATTTGAACTTGATGAAGTTCACTGTTCTCTTTACAGCATAGAATGCAATCAATTCAACAAATTACCAAGAACTGACTACGAATATAATTCTGAGCAGCAGAATTAAAATTGAACCATATAAATTCTAATTTTTCCAGAGTGTTTTGGAAAGGTTGTAGACAAAATGGTATATATTATTGTCTTTTCAGGCAATGGTCAATTATCCAGGCTTTTTGTTGAAAGTTTTGAAAGAAATTGTTAAAATCAGTTAATAGTGTTTATAAAAAGCATGCTGCTGGTTCATTGCCCGTATTTGCTATGCTATATTAACAAACACAATTTAAAAATTGCTTCATTTCTTGATGCTAACTGCCAGTTTTGTTATTACAAAAGATCTGATCAGGGGTATTTAAAATATGAGAGATTGCTCTAGCAGAAAAAAATATATACAGCTACCAAAAATTTGAAAAAATGGTAATGAAGGATACCTTTGCCAATTTAGGTTAGTCACTATAATGTTTGCATTAAGATAATACACATACACAGTCATACAAATATACACACAGACACACAAATATATATAGATATACATAATATGTCCTGTGTGAGTTCAAAGCTAAATAATCATTAAGTAGCAAATTTTCAAGCCCCCAATAGAGTCACACAAAAGATAACCTCATTCACAATTAACAGTAAATACTTATTTTGGGGGAAACAGAAAATATTCTTATTATTTGTGGAAAAGTCTGCTATTAACTGAAATTAATTAATTAATTAATTAATTAATTCTGTCTATCTGTCTGTCTGTTGTATTGGAAAAGTCTTTACCCTTCATGGAAGCAAGAAGTAATAAAAGAGAGACTATGTTCTCACTAGCCTTTAGTCGGTCCTATTTAAAATTAGTAATCACCAGGAAAAGAATAGCATAAAACTAAAAATGTATTGAGAACTGGGATATTAGAAAAATATTAGTGATATAAGCTAGTAAAGCCTTACAATAAGCAACTGCAAAATGTCCAAATTCAATGGAACAGCCCAATAGAGACCAAAAATGGGATGAATTCCAAAGAAAGGTAACTCTAGCTGTGGATAGTAGGGTAAGGAAAGAAAAGGAATCACTTGCTTGCGTTTCCATCTGAGGAGTGGAATTCTTCTACAGCGTCCAAGCCTCCAATTCTGAGAAACTTTGACCCTTTCTTTCACTGGGATTCCTACCACTCTGCAGGAAGAAAAGACAATGTAAAGACAGGGCCTGATAGGACTCCATGAAAATTAGGATTTTATTACAGTTCCAGTTTTCAAAGGAAAGGAAAAACAGAATTGGCCAATCAATGTAATTCCCTTTCTGCAATAAAATATATTTGCAATCCTAGTATACAAGGAACTAAACTCTTTGAAATTTTCCAGATAGAAATCTTCTAACACATTACACTGACTGTACACGTTTCCAATAATTTAGCAGACTTTAGTATATGTATCTCGTTATTTTCTATGAATTTAGAAAATGTGAATGAATAATATTTCTTCCCATAGTTATCACATGCTTCTGACACTCTGATGCAGTATTTTACAAACCTAGAATGTATCTTTATTTAAAATTGTCTTAAATATGAATTTGAAAAAGAATGTGTCTTATTATTGCATAAAAATTGTTATGATGGTTCCACAAACTTGATTTTTTTTGTTTGGGGAGGGGGTCAGCTTAATCAACTGGCTATTAAACTGGGCATCTTCTTTTTCTGGTCAATATTAAACTCAGAACCTTTTTTTCCTGGTCACTTCTCATTCCTGTTTTCCAAGTCACCGCTTAGTTTATTTTCATTTGAAAGCATGTGGTTCACAATGAATCCTCATGCAGAGGAACACATTTGTAACTATAGCTCAAAGCTATAAACTGGTCCAGAGTAAACAGGACTTGCCCAAAATAATACACAGGGAAGGAAACAAGCATTTCATTTTTAAATGAAAAATGAAAAAGATTAGTCATACATCAAGGAGGTTTTGTTTAACCAGCACTATCAAAAGATCAGAGTTTAAATGTAGTACTTGGTGGACCAATGAAGTGAAGAATGAGTAACCCTGAAATCTTCTGCATGAAATCAAACTACTTTTAAAAGCATATATAACATATATAAACTTCAGAAATGTTTTTATCAAGGTCTTGTGCAAGCTCTTGACTACCGACCCCTCAAATTCATGGCAAATTGCAAAACTAGAGTTATTGCAGCTGTTTATTATTAACACAAATTTGAAAGAACTTTGTTCTCATGAAGCTAGAAAGGTGAGTTCGGGCTAATTAGCTACAGTCAACTTCAACAGTCTAGTTTAAGCAGGCATTACTGCATCTTCCTTCCTTTATTATCCTTACTTCACACTTTCCTCTCCTATTATTCTGGCCATCCTTACTGTTGAATTTTGGCCTGAAAATCACTTGTAACAATGACTTATTTTTGTCCAATAATTTATTGGCATACGTTGGTCCACTGACAAACATGTTGACATTCCAGGCATTCCATGTACATATTTTTCACTATCATTCCAAAACTCAGGAACTCAACCCAAACTCTCAGATTTTCCATGATACAGTAACTCTGAAGTTACATCATTACATGTAACTTCACATCTGTATATAACATTTTTGTACAAATTTTCATACAAAAAATCTACTTGTGGTCTAGTTTTATCCCTTAAAGCAAGGTTACAATAGTGAATAACAGTGGCTAATACTTTCTTTTTTTAAGGCCACTACTCTAAGTAAGACTTGCTTCCCAAGGCCATTACAAAATACAACACAAAATGTAAGGCATTTATAGTGCAACAAAATTCATGTGTACTAAAGGCATCTATCCCTGTCCATTTCAAGAGTTACTTTAAAACAGAGAGATACATAGCATTTTTCTGTGACATTTTCATTCTTTATTATACTAGAAATTCAAAACTAGAACTAGTTCTGCTCTATGCAATCACAGAAGTAGTCATAGAAGTATGTAAATAAGTAAACAAATAGAGTGGAAACATGAACTAGGCTCTACTGCCAAATAAACAAACAAAAAGGCTGCAATTGGAGATTTTCCATCCGTCAAACATGAGGTTGAATTGAAGATCTCTAACTTCCCATTAGCTCTGAGGGATAACAAAGAAAAAGCTCTTTTCATGCATTACTGGACAGACCTCAAAAATCATGAATAATACATTTAAAACAATAGAAACACACACACAATGTGGTGCTTTTAAACAGTTTTCTTTTTGTGTCTCAATAGGCTATGTTAGAATCAAAGGGACATTAAGCATTGGTTGCTGGGTGATAGGTCTTAGATAACAAAATCATATTTTTTTATAACATAATTTTTTAAATATGCCAATTCGAAACAGTGAAAGTTGTATGTTAATTTTCATAATCTTGAGAAATTTTCTTTATGGCATCTCACACCTTTTTAGCAATGAACTCCTTTCCACTGTGTTGAAAATTTGTTTGACATAAAATAAATGGCACAGGCTATGCAATCATATTCATATCCTATGTTCAATTGGGTTTAATCCCTAGTAATTGTATTTTGGATTTGTGTCTGCACTTGTCTGTGTATTTGGCTTCCTTTGTTAAATCAGATGATAATTGAATAGTTTATTATTATTGTTATTACTAAAGGATGAGTTGGGATATTCTAATGATCTAAGGATTTATTTGTGAATTCAGTTAAGATCACATTTGTGACTACGACACATGAAAGACCACTAACTGATACTGCAGAAGAATTACAGTTATCCTTCTTACCTCTTTCCCCAAGCACTACTATTGTTTCAAAAATGACAAAGTGCCCAAAAGAGGGGGGAAAAATCCCCCTTTAAACAAAGATCTCTTGTGGCTGTTAATGCATGGGAGAATGTGTAACCTGGCCCTGAGGCCTGGCCAAACCAGTATTCCCAGCTCTTTTCCCACTGCCTGTGGCTCAATTATTCTTACTCTTCAGTTCCACTCCCTTTTCCGGCACTTTGTCACCATTATAATTTGACTGCATTCCTCTGCATGGGATCAGCTTTACACAAAACATATAGATTTATTTCACCTAAAAAATTTTCTCCTGGTCACATAGACACCAAAGAATCAATTGACAGGTATTATTCAATGCACCCTACTTAAAGAAGTTATTTTACTTTATATGATTATTTACATTTTGCCCTTCAGCTATATGCCCCATGACCAAGCAATACACAAAAATACAAATTTATAAAAAGAACATATATGTGGTAGTTTAGGAAAAGGGCAAGGAAAATTTTAAAAAAAATTTCTGCTGAGTGTCAAACTAAGATGACTACAGAATATCTTGGGAGACCACTACAGGGTCAGCATATGGTCACTGAAATGGTTATTTCTATATGTGGCAAGGTAGAAAAGTTGTACTGCTAGGTTGTCCTTTAGTTACCTCTGACCCAAACCATCAAAGTTTTCAAATGTCAACACTTAAATGTCAATACTTTGAACTGAGCCCAGAATTAACAAATGTTGTACGCTCAAAGCAAATGTTTCCATTTGGGAGTCTGGCAGTTGTATTTTGAGATTTCAACTTCAGAAGAAATATTTAAACTCCAATCTAGGTGATACAGCAGATGGGCAACTGTGACTGGGCAAAAACTATTGGAAAAAAAAAGTGGCTGACATAGTAGTCTATATTAGAATCTGTCGCATATTCATGGTGGGAATACACTTCTCTCTAAGAATGCTTGTGAACTTAAAAGTTAAAACCCATTTAATGATAAGGCTCAAACAGATACGCTTAACTTTAGATATGAAATAAGTCCTTATAATGATGAAGATCAGCTCCTACAATGTAGCAACCATTCATATTAACTATTCTGCATTTCTTTCTCTCCTTATATTTTGACTAACATTTTCTGCCATTTCTGAATCTGACATATTGAGAACACTTCAACATGTAAAACTTCAAACAGCATCTATTATATAAGCTAACATTATTTCCATCATACATTGGTACCTTTAACACAATAAACAAGTCTATATTTACTTCAGGTTATTAGAATGCTTATAGGGATACGGTTATACTTGAATATACTATATTGCCTACAATATCCTAAGACATCATACTAATCCTATGGGAAAGAAATAGGCGCTTTCCTTATCTATCATTTACGCTGTCATTCTAATGGGCATATAGTTCTAAGCAGTGGTGGGATTCAGCCAGTTCGCACCACTTCGGCAGAACCAATAGCTATTTTTTTGTTGCCGAGACCCAGAATGGACTTCCGGAAGCAGCATCCACACAGAGAACCGGTTATTCACATATTTGAATCTCACCACTGATTCTAAGTGTCATATAATTTTTGATTGGCATTGTGCATTTTTAATAGAAAAATGTAATGGCTATTGTTAAAAACAATGTATTATTTATCCCATTTGTACCCTAATGACTTTGCCAGGACGCTTGAAGGTTTTAATAATAATGTATAATTCTCCTACTTAATCTCTTATAATTAACTCTAATCCCCACTTCAATGAATAAGAATACAGCCTGAAATAGATGAAACTGATTAAGACTTGGCTAAGCTAAAACCTAGGACATGAAGTTAACCCTAAGTTTGTTTTAACTACAATTAAGCATGTAACCATGACATGTTTGTGAAACAAAAAACCATGATCTTACAGATCACAATGATTGGATTTATATGTATGCTAATCCAAAATAAAGTACGTTACATTATATATTAAATAACATGTCTATTTGCAACTGGTAATATTATAATTGTCAGATTTCCCAATATAGTTGCAACACAGTGGACACTAAATAAGAGGAGATATAAGAAGTAGCAAGAGGTGAGAAACTGAACAATTTGTTAAGCTGTGGGAAAATTATGTTTCCAAAAAACAGATTTTGTAATAGCCTAAAAGCAAACTTTATTGCTTTTCTTTGTACTATGAGGTGCAGTATAATAAATCAAATAGAAACTATGAATATACCTTCAAAAATGTATATACAGGCAGGTCTCAACTTATGACCATAATGGAGCCTCCACATTACGATCACAAATGGTAATGGCCATTAAGCAAGATAGCCTCACTTAACAACCTCACACCACATGCTGCACCTGATGGGACTGTTAAGCAAATGCATGGATTATCAAGGGAAGCAGGTGGTGCCTCAGGGGTGGAAAAGGCCCTAGAACAGGCATGTCAAATTGCCGACCCACGGGCCAGATGCGTCACGCCGAAACCGCACCCACCCCATTGCTGGCAATGGGGAAAAAGTCCCTATATCGCGTGACGTCACGAGTTTGACATGCCTGCCCTAGAAGGCCTAGTGCAGGCCCAGGCTCCTGCCCCAGGGCTTCTCCCACTCCTTCTGAGCAATCCCTATGCTCAGATCCTGTAACAAACAGTAAGGATTAAACCTGGACCTTCTGCATATTCTACCATCAAATTATGGTTCCTCCAATACTAGCTACAATTTCTCTTTAATGCTAATGCTTTAATGCTATTACTGATAACCTAGTTTTGGTAAATAGTTAATTCATCAGAATGTTAATAGTAGTTTTAACATCCAACTACTCTATGAAGCAAATAATACTATTAATTTAATAACAGCGAGCCAATTTAGTGTAGTGGTTAAGTGTGAGGATAGAGCAGTGAGTTTAAGACCCCCTTAAGCAAGAAGTCAGCTGGGTTACTTTGGGCCAGTTGCTCTTGTTCAGCCCTAGAAAGCAGGCAATGGCAAACCACTGGCAGTTCTGTACTGATCAGGGAAGACATTCCATTTTCTTCCTCTTTCTAGATTAACATAATGCAGAAATGCTGTTATCTGTGATTGTCACACTAGAGGTCAGAAACGACCTCCAGTGATACTACTTGTTCTTTTTATCAAGCGATTCAGACATGCTGTGAAACAATTGAAGCTTTGTAAGTTTCATTCACCTCAAAATCTAAAAACTCTACATAACCCTGCAGACCTATTGAAACTCACATTCTAACAAAATTAAAACATTTTGAGGCTTCAGAATTAACACAACTACTGGTTCAAATAGCTTGTGCACATCTTCTAAGAAAGTGCTTTAATTATAAAGAACCAGTTGGATAGCCCAAAATTATTCTGATTGGAAAAATATATGAACACTATAGCAGAATTCCTAAAACATTTTTCGGTTTTAAAAAAGCAAACCCCAGCCTCACTCAAAAATAACTGCGTAAAGTGGAAAATTCTATCCCTATTTTTTTACAGGTATGTAAAAACAGGATATACCCCTCAAAATGAACTACAATAATTTATTCCCTGGAATCGCTCTAAGCTAAAGAGAGCCAGCTAAACTTGTCCTGAAATAAGTAAGTCGGATTTGTCTTAACGATAGTTCTAATTCGAACCCGGGGCGGGGCAAGTATCAAAAAACTGGAGTGAGAAAAGTCACCAGCAATCTCGTATCCAATATAGTCAGCTACTATGTTCCAGGGAACCTAAAATGGGAAGTTTCCCTTCTGAGCAACTGAATTCAAAGCTATTTCATACCCAGCACGGGACCCAACCCAACCAGGACCTGAGACCTCCCACCTGCACAAAGCAAAGTTTCTAGTCAGAGCTTTAAGCAGCATTTCCCCTCCTTCCGCCCCGCGACTACGCCGTTTCAAACACAGCCCTCCTCCCTTATCAAGCGGGCGGGCCTTGATTTCAGAGTCGCTCCTTAGCAACGAGTTAGGCCGCATGCCCTGTTTTTCCCAACCAGCCTTCCCCAGCCTAGGCGCTTACAGGTCGGCGCCCAGCGCGCTGAAGCCTGCGTTCAGGGAGAAACGGGCGAGGCGCCTCCACAGCACATCACGGGAAGTGAAACGGAAAAGGCGGCGACAGGTCTGGCCCAAGCGGCCCAAGGCCCTCGCGTCCAGGTACGAACAGATCAGCAGCAGCAGTTCCTCCGGCAACGTCCACAGCGGAGATCGGATCTCGGCCTGCGGAGGGCTGCTGGGCCTCCCCATGGAGGGGAGACCTCTCCCAGCCCGGGCCCGGCAGTGACAAACTCAACAGCGGGAACGCTGCTGCTGCTGCTTGCCGGGCCCGGGTAGGCCGTCGCTCTTCGGGGCGGCTGTTTCTGCCCGCCTGCCGGAGCCGTCACATGAGTGCGTCCAGCCCTCCAAAGACTGGTCTTCGTAATGCATTAAACGCCTGAACCGGCTCTGCGTGGAGTTCAGGATGGAAAAAGACAATCGGATACTCTTTCTCCCCAGGGCCAGCATATGTTTCTCGCTAGGATAGACTAGTTGGAGGCAGGTTTAGTTCTAACGAGCTGTTAAGAAGGAGAGTTATACGTAATCTATTGTGAGAACCTAGCCTGGGCGATTATTTTAATTCATGCACAAGCCCAGAAAACGGGTCGATTAATTATGGGTAAGTATGTTATGCAAGCAACTGCTCATGCTAGGTTTATTATTTCTGCAGGAGTTTTCTGCATATTTTCCTCCCTCAGGATTGTAATGTCCAACCACTTTACAGACAATAGAAATAGATTTGTATCTTCCTGGTTCCTAAATAAGTGGTGGTATTGATATTACATGAATTGCCAAAATATCATTTCAGAAAAGTTATGCCTATATGTATTGAGATACGTCTTGAAAGCAAATTGATAATTGTTCTATGTACAGTATCCCTGAACATCAAAACTCCAAGCTAAATTTTTCTTGTTAGGGAACATCACAACTTCATTATTACAGTAGCACACTTTCAGGAACAATGCACTATTAAAATCCTTGGTTCCTAAGTGAGACTCTGTCTCTAAGCCACTTCATATTTTGGAATTACCATATTTGAAAAAAGTTCTGCAAAATGAAGGACTTATATTATATCCTGTTCATTTTAATTAATACTACACTTATTATAATACAGCCTTATTACAATACTTAACAATCCTGTAGAAAAGATGCTCTTATGATCCCAGACATTTTATGAAATTATATAAAATGCAAGTAGTACATCTTCATTTATCCTATATCCTGATATTACACAATCATAAGAAATAACTTTTAAAAAACAGCACGGATATTTACTTTTTACAGAGGATACTGCTAGAAAATTTAGTGTATACTAACCAGTGTTTCAGGTGAGGTACTAAAGAATCACCCTATATGCAGCTTAGGTTCTCTACATGCACATAACTACCTTACAAACTTAGCCTGTTTATTTTGAATTGTCATGAAAGGAGACATTAGAGACTGCACAGAATTTTGTACGTATGAGTGTATATGTTTCCAGATATGTCTCCTCATAAAGAGCAATAAGTATTATTACTATACATTAAGAAGAATCAGATGTTCACACAACATCTCATACACATCAATCTGTCCATCATGGAGAAACTTCATTATTACAGTCCAGCACACTTTCAGGAACAATGCAAGTACATGTAAGTATAGTCATTTAACTTTCCTTTTGTCCTCAGACACTCCATATTTACCATCTCTAGAATATCTGAAAATATAACTGACTACTGTTGGCCCAATATCTGCATCTTTTTTCATTTCTTATTTCTTTTCATGCACAGTGGAGAGGGCAGGCAAATGAATGAAAAATATATTTAACAAAATGTGTATCCTCATCAAAACAGTTGGATATGTATGTAGATGCTATTTTTATGTTGCCAAAATCCCTATAGAAGAAATAGATTGATAACTACAGTTAATATGGGCTACAGATTTTACTATCAATACTGATTTTTTCCAAGTATAAAAGGAAGGGATGCAGTAGTGTCCATACTGTCACAGAATCTAGCGATTAATTAAAATCAAGGATCTTGCTGTATTGAATTGTAATCCTGAAATACCTGAGACAGATTACCTCTTTGTTTATTTCAATGGAATTGAAAATTGAAAAGTTGTTAAACAATTCTAAACAATTATAACTCTTGAATGTAAGACATTAACAGTGATAAACTGTATTCCATAATATTTTCACAGATGTGGAAATATCTTCATTTTTTTTCAAACTAGAGTACCTCTTTATTATTGTCCAAGGACAGTTTTCATGCATCTTTAGGTAGTTGTGATATATTTGTTATATAGATTATTATAAAATATTTTTATAACAAAAGTTCATTTAAAATACATCAAGAGCTTCTAACAATACAACATTTACCCTCTTATAAACGATATTGGGATGCTTATCCATTAAAAGGAGTCAAATATAATAATTTTCTGAGTATCTTGGATGATGTATGATAGTAGTAGGAGTAGACATGAAATAAATTCCATACAAATATAGTTCCTAATGAAAGGAGCAATATAAAAGGAGATGTTCAATGTCTAATCTGCTGTTGACCCACAGAGAAAATCACTTTCATGATGCAATTTATAGTCAAATTTGCCCTTTAGTACAGAAAGTGAAATTACATTAATTCTTTTTTAAAAAGCTCCAAAATTTGAGTAGAGACAAGTTCTTAAAATAATAGGTTGACTAGGTATGCATGAGCTTTGTTCTTCATATTTTATATTAAAAAAAACCCTACACTGATTTGCAGTTCCATGCCTTTGATGCACTGTATAAGTAACTCTAGTAGACAGATAACTGATGCTCTGATCTAAATTTTGATACTACGGTAGTTATACACTGCAGTGCCAAACCAGTTAGATCAGGGGTTCCCAGCCAGGAGTACTCTCACACCCCCTGGGGTGCAAGACGATATTCCAAGAGTTTAGAAATTTCAAAATTATAGTGTCTATGCATAATTCATTGCTGTTATTTCAAACTTTTGTAAGGGGTGCGACAATATATCAGAAGCGTTCTAGGGGTGCGGGGTATAGAAAAGTTTGGGAACTGCTGAGATAAATCATAGTTATCATAAAGTAAAGCTGAAAATCATGCTAGAATTCAAGTCTGGAAGCAAGTAATTGGGTGGAAGCATACAACTAATTTATTAACTTTATTTTCATTTCCAAATGTGAAAAACATGTTTCCTTATAATAAATGACATGAATCCCAAAAGCCATCAAAATTTACATCATGTCTATCTTACACTGTAATCAGCAAAAAGTCATTGTAATACACTATAGCCACTTGAAATGCATTTAATCAGGCAGACTTTCTTTTTTTGTCCTGATGTCCAGCCATTGTTTCAGTGTTTTCTCAGGTTAATAAACTTGCTTTTTTCTCTTTCACTTGACTATTACATTAATTCTGTTTTATCTGCAAAATTAAAGACAGTATGCAAAGCCTAATAGAGCACTGAGCATTTGTGGGGCTTCTGCTGTCATTACGTTGTGGAAAACGAAAATATTGGCTGTTTTTTTATGCAAGGTTTAGGCCCAGATGAACTAAATCAGGCCTCATGGACAAAACATTGAATCAAAGTCTGTGCTATGCTTAATTTTGCAGTTTTCAATTGTACTTTGCTAAACTTGCTCGTTTCAAATATATTTAGAACATAAAGTCTGGAACAGTTAAGAAATAGGGAACTGAAAGTAGCTGATGGATGCGGATTCCAATGTACACTAGTATATATGGAAAGTTACATTCAGCAAAAGGTCAGCAGGAAGTCAGTAGAAAGTCAGCAAAAGTCAGCAGAAATCAGCAAAAGTCAGCAGACCATCTGTCTACAGTCTTAGAACGGGAAAGGGTATAAAGAGTTGGGTCTGGACCTGATTGATTTGCCATTGGCCTATAGCTGTCCTTTGGAATTTGCTATGCCAGTGGACCTCAATGCAATGGGTTATTAATGTAAGTGATGTTGTGTTATTATGCTTGCTATGTTCCAAATTATTAGCAAAATAAACCTCTGAATCTTAAAGTAAGAATTATTGTTTTGTGTTGCTGCCTCATCTTTTCATTGGATTTTTTCCATGACAATGTATAGTAACTTCATGGAACTTTCAAATGAAATAAGATGCCTTTCACAGGTACAGAAAGCAGGCTGTTCTTACATACCAGCAGAATCAAACTATTAGCAAAACAGAATTTATTGTATTTATAGATTGGTTTCATAGTTTTTTTTTCTTCACCACTATGAGAAGGTAGAATTTTGGAGATCAGGTAAGATACAGGTGAAACTGATTAAAAGGAAGCTGAGAGGAAAAGTTAGCAAGGCCCAATTTCCTTGAAGTGCATGGAACCAGGTTAAAGCAACAATGTTGAAAGCCCAGGCAGAATGCATACCTCAGTGCAGGAAAGAAAAATAATTAAATGAGGGGAACCATACAGCTGACCAGTTCTGTCAAGGAAGGGGTAAGGCACTCAATTATTATTTATTAAATTTATATGCAACCCATCTCAAGGTTTGAGGTGACTGGCTTACTATGTAAGGAACTGAAAGTTGACTGCTGGTTCATTGTAGCAATCGATCGAAAGGCAGGAGATTTTGTATTAATCAGTTCAGGATCTTCATTGGCAATTGTTTAGTTTTTATATTAATCCATTTTTTCACTGCTCCTTGGTTTTCATTATTAAAGTTTGCATATCATTTGCATTTTCAGCTATAAAAACAGTATCATTAGCATAGTTTAGGTTATTGATTATTCTTCCTCCAATTTTGAAACAATGCTTCAATGTAGTTTCTCCATATATATTCTGCATAAATGTTGAATAGATAAGGGGAGCATTTATAATTTTGTTTCAGTTCTTTACTAAACCCTAGACAGTTTGTTTCATGTTTAGTCCAGACTGGATTCCTAACCTGTGTATAGATTTTGTATGAGGACAATGACATGTTCTGGAATTCCCATTTTTCTGCATTTCACAGCTTGACATCAACACAATTGAAGGCCTTTTTATAAGCAAATACTGACTTCTTTGGAATTCTTTAGCTTTTTCAATTCATTCTATATTGTATTGCATTCATCAGCAATAAAGTCTCTTGTTTTTCAACCTTTCCTAAAGCCATCTATCTGCAGGATAATCTTAAGCATTATTTTGCTTGCGTATGAAATTAAGGATGTTATATGATAGTCTGCACAATCTGTTAAGACTCTTTATTTGGTAATAGTGCGCAGACCAACCTCTTCCAGTCTGTTGACCACTGTGTCATTCTCCAGATTTATTGGGATAGTTTGATTAGACTCTTTATAGATTCTTCTGTTGTTTACCATATTTCTGCAGAGATTTCACTTTTGCTAACCTTCTATCTTGGTAATAGCCACAGTACTGGTTTGTCTTCATCTTCTAGTACGTAAAGTATTTATAAGAAAGAAATATCATCTAAGGTCAACACTACAAGAGCCAGCTTAGTGAAGTGGTTAAGGCACTAGATTAGAAACTGGGAGACTGTGAGTTTTAGTCCTGTCTTAGGCATAAAGACAATTGTGCAGTTTTAGGCCAATCAGTTTCTGTCAGCCTTAGAAGGCTGACAAACCACTTCTGAAAAACTTTGCCAAGAAAATTATAGGGATTCTATTGTCCACTCTTATGTACTGTACTGTGTACTTTTCCATTTTTGACCTTGGAATCAACTACTATCTTCCATTTGCATCCTTAGCATGCTAATTTAAGGTTAGAACCTCCTTATAAGATCAGATATCTTATAGGCTCTATGATTGGAGTCGTCGTTTAAGTTAAATACCTTATAAGGAATTATGGAAATGCATTTAGAGAAGGCATCTAGAAACCATTGGGACCACAACTGGTGCAAAAGAGGCATGTTTTCGGGCTTGGGGGGAAGTGGCGATGGTCTGAGATACGTAGCCAGAAGGCAAGACAAGAAACAATGGATGGAAACTAATCAAGGAGAGAAACAACTTAGAACTAAGGAGAAATTTCCTAACAGTGAGAACACTTAACTAGTGGAAAGGCTTGCCTTCCCAAATTGTGAGTGTTCCATTACTGGAGGCTTTTAAGAAGAGACTTAAAAGACTCTCCACTTGTCTGAAATGGCAGGGTCTCCTGCTTTAGCAGGGGCTTGGACTAGAAGACCTTCAAGATCCCTTCCAACTTTATTATTCTGTAGGAAGTATACAGGTCCTCTGCCCACAGATTGCCAGGTGGCGACTTAAATTGGACTCTAGGGATCAGTTGGGACTGCTGCTATGTACCAATCTTCCTGATGTATAGCAATTTCCTTGCCTAAGCTCTGATTCTATAACCTGGTTGGTAGTGGAGTTCTCCATGTTTATGGTCTTGAGGGACTTTAATTTGCCTTCCCTGTGGGCAGGGTGTTAGATAGTGCGGGAGTTCGTGGCCATCATAACGGCCATGTACTTGTCCCAGGTCATTATATATTTCTTTCAGAAATTTCCTTAGAGATTCCTCAACGGTTTTAACAATGACCAAGTTTCTAATGTTCTGCCTTCAGTGGAAAAGTTAGGATACATTCAGAGATGTATCTGCTTGAAAATAACCCATATTGATAAATCTTTTATAAAATTTGCCAAATTTCAATTACACAGGAGTTGTGGGTCCTGTATTTTAGATGCATTCAGTAAGTTAGCTCATTTGAGGTACCTTGGTTCAAAAGATTTTGTCCTATGGTGAACTGTTTCATCCAGTTAAAAAGTATAGGAACATGAGATTTAGTGATAGATAGGTAGGTAGGTAGGTAGATAGATGGATGGATGGATGGATGGATGGATGGATGGATAGATGGATGATAGATGAAAGGTCAGCAGGGTTGGGGCCGATGGAAGACAGAGTGTGCACTTTCTCCCAGATCAGATAGAACAGGGGTGTCAAACTCAATTTCATTGAGGGCTGCATCAGCATTGCGGTTGCCCTTGGGGGGCCGGGTGGGTGTGGCCTACTGGGTGGGCATGGATGGAGTGGGTGTGGCCTACTGGGTGGACATGGCCAGCTCTACATCTTTCATGTCAAGGGTGTCTGTGGGGGCCTGGGCAGGAGTGGGACAGATCTGAGGGTCTCTGGCAGAAGGGGGTGGGACCAGGGCAAGGGGGTGGGGGTGGGACCAGGACAAGTGCCAAGGCATGGTCCACTGGAGGAGCCTCACCGTTCCTCTCAGGTCATGTGGGGGGGCTGGATGGTGGTGCGGGCTGCTCAGAGCCCTGGGCAGCAGAAGTCAAATGCCCAGCCTCACCCTCGAGCACCTGCAGCACCAAGCCAGCCCTACTTCCCCAAGGGAGTGCCCAGCTGCACTTAACACCTCCTCAAGGCTGCTGTTGCTGTGCTTGCTCTTCTTAGCCAGGTTGCATATGATGGGTACGAGGGTAAAGTCAGAGGGAGGCCCACTCCCTCTCCATGGGAGGAGACCCAGCTTTGTATCCAAAGCATCCTTAACAATAGGATGGGAGACCCTCAGGATAGGCCAGGAGGAGGGGGCAAGGGGATGGTGAAAGGGCAGCAGAGTAGGACTAAGGCAGAATTTCCCTCAGACCCTACCTCTCCTTTCCTTTTTTCCTTTCTTCCTTCCTAAGTATAGAGTGGTGGGAAAATATTTGAGATGAGGGAGGGAGAAAAACAGGCAAGAAACGCAGCTGGGGAGGTTTCACCCTTCGTGAGGAATGAAGAAATGCATCATCGCCTGGAAGTGGCCAGCACATGGCCCTCGCCTACTTCACATATCTTGCTCAGTGGGCTTTTGGGGGAGGGGACGCCATGAGCAACGTGAGAGTCAATGTTGCCTGCGCAATGCCGCCCAGCCCCCAGCGTGCCCGGTTTCAGCAGGCAGCGAGGCACCCTCCTCACAACACCGAGAAGTTGAGCCAGGAGTTGTGAAGCTCACCATCTTTCCACCTTGCTGCCTGCTGAAACTGGGCAGGCTGGGGGCTAGACAGCATTGCACTTCTCATCAGTTTCGTGCCACCCGGCTCAGCCTCTCGGTGCTGTGAGGAGAGCACCCTACTGCCTGCCGAAACCCCTCCTCCAGAGCCCATCAAGCCAGATAAGTAAAGTAGGTAAAGGGCATTTGCTGGCCACTTCCAGGTGATGGTGCATTTCTTCATTCCTCACAAAGGGTGACACTTCTCCAGCATGCACCCAGGGGGCTGGGTCGACGCAGCAGGGGCTGGTTCCTCTTGTGGAGCTAAGACTGCGTTTCAGTATAGATGGTCACCACAAAATTGTACATTGGCTCCCGGCCGGCCTGGGCCTGGGGCAAGGCAGAGGGGGCCATTCCTTCACTGTTTCCAGGACGGCTTCACGGGCCACATGAAACCACTTCGCGGGCCGCATCCGGCTCCTGGGCCTTGTGTTTGACATATCTGAGATAGAACAAGTAGAAATAACTTGTGACAGTCCCATAAGTAACCCAGCTTTAAACCTTGAAGAGCTTTAAAGGTGACTACCAGCAACTTGAATTATACCTGGAAGTACACTGGTTGTCAGTGCAGCTCATAGAGTAATGGTGTCACATGTGCTGAATAACTAGCGCCATGGACTACCCACATTACTGCTTAATGCATCAGCTGGAGTTTCCAAATGCTTTTCAAGAGCAGTCCCATGCAGAACGCAATGTAGAAATCTAATCAGGAGGTTACAAGGGCATGAGTTTAAGTACAACTGAGTTCTTTCTCTGTCAGGCCTTAAAAGTAGCCCAGTTAGGAAATCAAAGCTACGTATGCTAATATACCTTTATTGTAAGATTACTTTTCAGAGAACTAGGAAGGATTCCTTCTGCTTCTCCACCCCCATCCCTTTTTTTGACTTATATTTGTCTTATTAGATCATTGTTTAGGCTGCAGATATTCCTATCACATAAGGTTATTCTTACTGCCCATTACATCTGCCTCCTTTTAACAATAATATAGTCAATTGTACTCTGTTTAAAAATCACCATGTAGGC